GTGTGTGTGTGTGTGTGTGTGTGTGTGTGTGTGTGTGTGTGTTTTTCCTCCGCGCAGATCCAGCGGTGGATGTGGGGCTTTTTTTTTCCTCTCTCCTCACAGCAGCGACGTGGAGCTCCGTCTGTCTGCGCACTACTTTTTTCGTGCAAAACACGTCCCCCGCTCGGTTTTAAAAGCCCCACATCCCCCCTCACGCGCTCCACGTCGCTTCACACGGTGCTCGGTCACCCGTCTGCACCGGCTGATCTCGGTTCTGGTTCGGATTGCGTCCTTTGGATTTACGGAAAGCGGAGGAACCGAGGCGAGCCCAGCCGCGGCAGGCTGAGCTGTTCCCGGCAGCGAGTGCTCCAAACGGTCCTCCCGAGCCCGGGTTTCGACCCAGCGCCCTCAGATTATAGATTTAAGATGTCTAGGGGTTCAGGGTTCGGTTCCCGTGTTGCTTTTTGCTCATCGGAACCCAACACTGGATTTATTAACTTAACTCGGACGGTTCCAGCGAACGTGACGCGGAGGCAGCCGCGTTTAATTTGTGCACAAAATGCGTCACGGTGACTGCTTGGTAAACAGTTGATGGTGAAAAATCACACACCAGGAGGGTTCGGGACCGGTTCGGATGGATTAGAATGAAGAATAGTTCTTGTTTTGTGGATGAATAAAATAAAAAACCTGAAGGTGATGTGTCGGGTTTGGTCCACAGGATCCAGATCTGGGTTTTACGCCTTTTAATCCAACAACATGAACCCGGGATGGATTTAAATTAAATTAATTTGTCTCCAAACCTCATCTTTAACATTTTAATATGTTTCTGCTCTCGTCCTGATCAGAGTCATGTTTGTGTTCGGCAGGTAAACGGGTCCTCTGCCTGCAGGTCGGAACCAGAAAGGCGCTAAAACATCCAGTTTGATCAGACACAACAAGGAGTTCAGATTATTTAAATATACTGAATTCAGTCTTGGTTTGATTTTTTTTGTCCCTAAATTCCAGGATTTATTAGTTGTTATTTCAAGCTGCTCGTGTCCAGAACTGATCTTGATTTAGGGGAACAGATGAGACCAGTTCTGGGTCTGATGGGGCTTTAAACCCGTCCTGGATCCGCTCCAAAATAAAACCTGSATCTGGRTTTTTATGKAGKTTWTTTTTWTTTWATTATTTGKGTCTGTTGATTGGAGTGGGCTTTATTTATTTGATGGTTTTTTGGTCTCAGAACCGGATCCTGGGTCAGACTGGGTTGTAAACAGAAGCGCACCGATCCGTGGCGCAACAGGCTCAGTTTGCGCACATTTGATGCGGACATGATCCATCTTTGCGCTGAAATGGTTCGGCGTTAGGTTAGGGAGGGGGGTATCTGAACCATAGGGACTCGGTTCCGACGCACACCAGAACCAAAGCAGTTTTTGATGAGCTCAGTGGATAAATGAGTTGTTTTATATTTTAAAAAGCTTTCAGCTGAAAACTGCTTTGTGTTACAGAATAAATTAAAATCATATAAAAGCGGTTTTTTCTTTTTTT